GGTTCCACAAGAGCCACTACTAAAAGTTCTTGGTTTCATTTGGAAGTTTAAATTTCCAATTTTGGAATTCATCACCGGCGCTTTTTCCAAAAAACTTTGCCGAGACATCAGCGCAGCTGAAATCACAAAAGAAGTCTTTTATTTTTTATTATTTATTTATTTATTTATTTATTTATTTATTTATTTATTTATTTATTTATTTATTTATTTATTTGTTTATTTAGTTCTTTAATTCATTTAATTGGATTTAGTTTGATTGGTTTAATTTGATTTAGTTTGATTTAATTTGATTTAATTTGATTTGATTTAATTTGATGTAATTTAATTGGTGAAAAGCACTTTGGATTGCAGTTTAATTGTTTGCAGTTGAAGCGAATTAAACTGTTCATTTTAAAGACTTTAAAAATAAATAAAAACAAATAAAAACAAATAAAAACAAACAAAAATAAAAATAAAAATAAAACTAATTTATTTAAAATGCAAAAGCGTTTTAAAAGATATTCTCGGAATTTAAAAAGAGAACAAATTAAAACAAAAAAGAATTCAAATGCGTTATTTCAATTCTGCATTTTTTATTTTAAAATTAATTTTTAAATTAAAAAAAATTATTTATTTCAACTCCAACTTCTCCACTCTAAATTGATTTGAGATAAAATGAAAACAAGTTGGAAAGTAATCAAAAACAAACAAAAAACAAATTAGAAGTAAATTAAAAACAAATCAAAGTAAACTAAAAGTAAATAAAGTAAATTAAAATCAAATAAAAAGTAAATTAAAGTCAAATAACGCAAATTAAAAACAAATAAAAAGTAAACTAAAAGTAAATTAAATTAAAAATAAAGTAAATCAAAAGTAAACTAAAAACAACAAAGTAAATTAAATTAAAATAAAATAAAATAAAATAAAATAAAATAAATAAAAGAATGCAAATGTACACTGCAGCTTTTTCAAGTTCTTGGGCGGCTCATTTGCTGTCTTTTGCTTTTTCGCCGGCTGCCGCCCTTCGTCGCTTTCCGCCTCCTGCAGAAAATAAAATAAAATAAAATAAAATAAATAAAATAAATTTAAATAAAATAAATTAAATAAAATAAATAAAATAAATAAAAAGAAATAAATAAATAATAAATAGTGATTCAATTGAATTAAATGAATTAAATGGATTAAATGAATTAAATGAATTAATTGATTTAAATGAATCAAATGAATAATTAATTTAATCAAATAAATTGAATGAATCAAAAGGATTAAATGAATCAAATAAATCAAATGAAACAACCGAATCAAATAAATCAAATAAATAAAATGAATAATTAAATGAATCAAATGAATAATCAAATGAATCAAATAAATCAAATAAATCAAACAAACATTTAAATAAATAAAATAAATAATTAAATGAATAATCAAATGAATGCCCACGGAGTGCTGGCTTTCCCCTTCCCCCTCTTCTGCCTCTTCTCCCTCTCCTGCTGCTGCTGCTGCTGCTGCTGCTGCTGCTGCTGCTGCTGCTTCATCTTCTTCTTCTTCTTCTTCTTCTTCATTTAATTCGGAAACAATTTTGTCAATTATTTCATTTATTTCTTTTTTGTGTTCTTTCAAACTCTCCGCCTTCACTCCCAACTTCTCCTCCAACTTCTCCCGCGCGCTCTTCCGGCTCATGTCCCTCCAAGTCTCCGCAGTTATCACTTCCCTGAACCCCAAACCCTAAACCCTAAACCCTAAACCCTAAACCCTAAACCCTAAACCCTAAACCCTAAGCGCTAAGCCCTGGGGAGGGCTGGGGGAGAAGGGGCTGGGGTCGCGGAGGCGCGGAGAGGCGCTCAAGGCCCCTCTACCCAAACCCTAAACCCTAAACCCTAAACCCTAAACCCTAAACCCTAAACCCTAAACCCTGGGGGTTTGGCAGTGCGCACCTGAGGTGTTCCTCCGCCTTCACCGGGTCGAAGCTGTTCGCCTCCGCCATTTTGTTGGAAAGACTTCGAAAGACTTTGGAGGACTCGAAGGGCTTTGAAGAGGTTTGAAAAGAATTAATTTGCAAAAATTAATTTGAAAAGAATTAATTTGAAAAGAATAAATTTGAAAAGAATAAAAAGATCTGAAAAGACTCGAAGAGAAGAAGAGAGAACCCGCGGCGGAGGCAGCAGCGCCGAGCCCGAGAAGCTGCGGCGCGGAGTTTGGAAGCTGGAAGTCAAAAGTGGAAATTAAAAAGAAAAATTAAAAGATCTGCGAAGTTCAAAACTGCAAAAGAAGAAAAGAAGTGACGAAATGGCAAAGCCGGGCTGGGGCTTTCTGGCGCGGTGCCCAGGTGTACATACACCCGAAGACGCGCGCGCGGGCGGACAAGTTGAACTGGGTCGATCACTTTAATTCTTTTGGGAATTCAAAAGCGATTTTCGCGCATTTTATTTGTTTTTGTTTCTTCCACTTCTTCTCTTCTTTTGGAAACAGATCTCCGCCGCCGCAGCCGAGACTCGCGAGTTGGCCGCAGCCGCTGGGGCCCCCTGCCCCACATCGCCGCCTCGGAGTCTTCTTTTTCTTTTTTCTTTCTCCAATTTTAATTCAAATTTAATTTTATTTCCACTTTTTCTCCTCATTTAAACTCAAAAACTCCTCTTTTCCCCGCCCCTGCCCCCCAGCCACAGCCAGACTCAATGGAAGCCCCAGCATGGCGCTCTGGCTGCAGCAAGCCGCAAAAAAATTCTCCAAATTAAATCCTGCAGTCCTGCAGCCCCTTCCGCCTTTCCCTGCGGTCTCAGGTGTACGTACACCTCGCCGACTTGAGCTGCAGCAGCAGCGGCAGCAGCAGCAGCAGCAGCAGCAGCAGCAGCAGCAGCAGCAGCAGCAGCAGCAGCAGCAGCGGAGGAATTTTGCGACTCGCGCAGCGCCGCACTGGCTGGAAGGCTGCAGCAGAGAAGCGGCCAAAGACCGAGGAGACGCAAATGAGAGGGCAGCAGCAGCAGCTGCTGCTGCTGCTGCAGCAGCAGCAGCACCTGCAGCAGCAGCAGCAGCAGCAGCAGCAGCAAATGGGGATGCTGCGTTGCTGGCTGGAAGGCAAGAAGACATAAATGTGGAGAAGAAAAAAGAAAAGGAAAAAAAAGAAAAGGCAGCAGCAGCGCAGCAGGTGTCTATACACTCCAGACGCCACGCGTTGGTGAAGCATTTCATCAAATTAAAAACAAAAAGAAAATACAGGTCAAATAAAACAATTCAAACTTGTTTGTTTTTTTGTTTATTTAAAATGCCATTTTGTTTAAATAAATCCTGCCATTTTGTTTAAATAAATCCTGCCATTTTGTTTAAATAAATCCTGCCATTTTGTTTAAATGAATATTTACACAACACCATTTTTAATTGTTTTGTTCTTTAAATTCAAAAATTGTTTTTTTCGTTTTTTTATTGGGAACTTCGCATTTATTTTGGGTTGTTTTATTCTTTGATTTATTCTTTTATTTATTCTTTTATTAGAGCACTTTAATTGCTCATTTATTCCTTTATTCATTTATTCTTTCATTAAATTATTTTAATTACTCATTCATTTTCGATTTATTTATTCTGCAATTAAAAGTGCCAAAATTAAATTAATTAATTCTTTCAACTGTTTATTCTTTGCTCAAAGCGCTTTAACTAGTTTTTAATTAATTCCCAATTTAGCTTTTGTTGAGATCATTTAAACAGCAATTTAATCTTCAATTTATTAAATTTAAACTCCAAATTATTTAAATTACTTTTAAATCACTTTTAAATTACTTTTAAATTATTTTTAAATTATTTTTAAATTACTTTTAAATCGCTTTTAAATTATATTTAAATTATATTTAAATTACTTTTAAATTACTTTTAAATTACTTTTAAATTATTTTAGAATTACTTTTAAATCATTTTTAAATTAATTTTAAATTATTTTATTTTTCCCTCAGAGCCGCTTGCGGCCAAATGGCGGTTTTGGGCGCTGAGACGATAAGGGAAGTCTTCGAGGCTTTGGAGGCGAAAAGCGGCCAAAAAAAAGAAAAAGAAATAAAAAGAAAAGAAGAAAAAGAAATAAAAAGAAAAGAAAAAGAAACAAAAAGAAGAGGAGAAAAAGAAGAAATAAGAGGAAAAGAAGGAGAAAAAGAGGGAGAAAAAGGAGAAGAAAAAGGGAAAGAAGAAGAAGAAAAAGAGGGAAAAGAAGGAGAAAAAGAAGAGATTTCCGAGGCCGAAGAAGAAAAAGAAAAGCCAAAAGTTTTATTTTTATTTGAAAGTGAAAAAAGCGGAAATGGCGAAAGCGCGGGGGACGGGCTTCGGGGTGTACGTACAGCTGCTGGCGCGCGACTTCGCGCGAGCGACGAAGTCATAAAAGTCCTTTTTGAGCGGAAATTTGGAGTTTTTTCGACTTTAAAGACAAATAAAAACAAAATAATTCCAAATTTGAGATTTAATTCCGAAAAAAGTATTCCAAAAAGTCCAAAAACTCCAAAAAACTCGCCAACTTCCTTTTCCGACGCCGCAGCCATCTTCCAAATCCCAAAACCTGCACACCACTCCCTCAACCCCAGGTCCTTTATTTTGTTTTATTTTATTTTATTTTATTTTATTTTATTTCATTTTATTTTATTTGATTTCTCCTTTTATTTCTTTTCTTTTCCTTTTATTTCTTTTCTTTTCCTTTTATTTCTTTTCTTTTCTTTTCTTCCTCTTCTTTTTTCTTCTCCTTGCTTTTTGAGATTTATATTTTTTAACGTTTTTCGAATTAGTTATTTGTAGAGGCTTCACTTTCGCCATTATTTGTTTATTTGTTTATTTGCATATTTGTTTATTTGCGTATTTGTTTATTTGTTTATTTGTTTGTTTGTTTGTTTGTTTGTTTGTTTTTTATTTGTTTATTTGTTTATTTGTTTATTCGTTTGTTTGTTTATTTGTTTATTTGTTTATTTATTTGTTTATTTGTTTGTTTGTTTGTTTGTTTGTTTGTTTGTTCTTTTTTTGGTTTTTATTTTTTCTTTTTCTGTTGATGCCTTTGCCAGCCTAATTCCTCGAGTGGTTGGTTCCTTGACCATTACATGATCAACAAACTATTTATTTATTTATTTATTATTTATTTATTTATTTATCTATTATTTATTTATTTATTTATTTATTTATTTATGTATGTATTTATTTATTTATGTATTTATTTATTTATTTATTTATTTATTTATTTATTTATTATTTATTTATTTATTTGTTTGTTTTCAGATTTGTGTTGGCAGCAGACGGCATTCGCTACGCTTCGAATTTGGGGCTTTTGTTGCACTTGGCGTTTTTTTTAAAAGTCGATTTTTTGTTTTTTGTTTCTGGAGGAGTGGATCCTTTCAATTGGAAAGTTATTGTGAGATTAATTCTTTTAATTCTTTTAATTCTTTTAATTCTTTTTATTGTTTTAATTGTTTTAATTCTTTTGATTCTTTTAATTCATTTGATTCTTTTAATTCATTTGATTCTTTTAATTCTTTGATTCATTAGTGCGTTTGTTCAGTTCATTTAATTCATTTAATTCATTTAATTCATTTAATTAATTTAATTCATTTAGTTTATTTAATTCGTTTAGTTTGTTTAATTCATTAAATGAATTAAATGCACTTTGACTCTCTGTTTTAATTCCTTTAATTCGTTATAAGAAAAGGGAGGCAGCAAAATAAAGAAAAGACTTAAAATTCAATTCAATTTAATTAATTTAATTTAATTAATTTAATTTAATTTATTTAATTAATTTAATTTAATTTATTTAATTAATTTAATTTAATTAATTTAATTTAATTTAATTTAACTTTTGTGTTTTATGTTTAACTCAGAGCCGCAGCAAAGGCCTCCATTTGCTGCTGCCGTTTGCCCAGGGGCCTCCAAACTCTCTTTTGGAGTTTTGCGAAAAAAAAAAATTAATTTTAATTTCCGCAGATCTCCAGGGGCCCCCCTTGGAAGAACTTAAAGGTCTTTTCTTTTCTTTTCTTTTTTTTCTTTTTTATTTTCTTTTTTCTTTTCTTTTCTTTTTTCTTTTCTCTTCTTTCTTTTTCTTTTATTTTCTTTTTTCTTTTCTTTTTTCTTTTTCTTTTTTCTTTTTTTTGGTGGTTGCTGCTCCTTTGGGCTGCTGCTGCTGCTGTTGCTGCTGCTGCTGTTGCTGCTGTTGCTGCTGCTGCTGTTGCTGCTGCTGTTGCTGCTGCTGCTGTTGCTGCTGGTGCTGCTGGTGCTGCTGGTGCTGCAGTTGCTCTTGGTTGACTTTATTTTTTGCTGTCTGTTGGATTTTTATTTATTTGTTTGCCAATGATTTCTTCCTTTATTTATTTGTTTTTTGTTTTGTGCTTCTTCTTCCCATCATTATTTATTATTTATTATTTATTATTTATTATTCATTATTCATTTATCATTTATTATTTATCATTTATTATTTATTATTCATTTTTTAAATTTATTATTCATTTATTATTTATTTATTTTTTACTTGTTATTTACGTATTATCTATTTATCGAAATGATTTGGTTAATTAATTAATTAATTAATTAATTAATTAATTAACTAATTAATTAATTAACTAATTAATTAATTAATTAATTAATTAATTAGTTAATTAATTAATTAATTAATTAATTAATTAATTAATTAGTTAATTAATTAATTAATTAATTAATTAATTAATTAATTAATTAACTAATTAATTAATTAGTTAGTTAATTAACTAATTAATTAATTAATTAATTAATTAACTAATTTATTTATTTATTTATTTATTTTATTTTCAGAAAGAATATCCGGAGAGGCTTGCGAAGGGATTTGCTGCGTTTTGGGCGGCGAGTCAAAAGGGCCTTCTGCTTTGCTGAGAGAAAACTCCCTCAAGTTCGTTCTATTATTTTATTTATTTATTTATTTATTTAATTTAATTTAATTTAATTTAACTAATTTAATTTAATTTAATTTAATTTAATTTAATTTAATTTAATTTAATTTACTTTGGTTTAATTTAATTCAATTCAATTCAATTCAGTTAAATTAAATTAAATTAAAGTGAAATGGATTAAATCAAGTCGAATTGAATTAAAATTAAATTAAACTTAAATTAAAGTGAAATGGATTAAATTGAATTGGATTATATCAAACCGAAATTAAATTAAAATTAGATTAAATCAAATTAAAATTAAAATAAAACAAAATAAAATAAAATAAAATAAATTTGAATTAAATTAAAAATTAAATTAAAATGAATTGTGCAGTTCCCTGTTTTGGAGCACAGGGCCGCAGCTTAAAAGATAATAAATGAAAAGATAATAAATGAAAAGATAATAAATTAAAAGATAATAAATTAAAAGATAATAAATTAAAAGATAATAAATTAAAAGATAATAAATGAAAAGATAATAAATGAAAAGATAATAAATTAAAAGATAATAAATGAAAATGTAATAAATGAAAAGATAATGAAAAGATAGTAAATGAAAAGATAATGAAAAGATAATAAATGGAGGAATAATAAATGGAGGAATAATGAATGAAAAGATAATAAATAAATGAAAGGATAATAAATAAAAGATAACAAATAAATGAAAGGATAACAAATAAATGAAAGGACAATAAATGAAATAAAAGATAATAATAAAAGATAATAATAAAAGATAATAAATAGAAGATAATAAATAAAGGACAATAAATAAAATAAAAGACAATTAAAAGAAAAAACAACAAATGAAAAGACCTCTTGGGTTTTGGCTTTTTGGAATTTGGGAAAAAAAGCTGCGGAGTTCATTTTTGAAATTCGAAAAGACTTTTGAGTTCATTTTGAGAATTAAAAAGTTCATTTTCGAGATTAGAATTGACTTTTGAGTTCATTTTGGCCTTCTTCATTTATTATTCTTTCATTTATTATTTTAATTAATTATTTTAAATCCATTATTTAAATTAATTATTTAATCATTTTAAATTAATTATTTAAATTAATTATTTAAATTAATTATTTTAAATTAATTATTTAAATTAATTATTTAAAATTAATTATTTAATTAATTATTTAAATTAATTAATTAATTAATTAATTAATTAATTATTTAAATTAATTATTTGATTAATTATTTTTTATCAGATTTGCGTTGCCGATGGCGCCTTTTGTGGACTCGCTGAACGTGGGCGTGGCGGGCGGGTTGGCGCTGTCTTTGTTGCGGCCCTTCGTTTTCGAAAAGTTCCAAAAAAAAGTCCAAAAAAGTGAAAAAATAAAACCATTTGGAGCTTTTTTGGACACTTTTGGACCCGGAAATGAACTCCGGAGACAATTCTAGACTCAAAATAAACTCCAAAGTCTTTTTTAATCCCCAAAAATGAACTCTAAAGTCTTTTTAATCCCCAAAAGGAACTCAAAAATCATTTTTAATCCCCGAAATGAACTCAAAAGTCTTTTTTAGTCCCAAAATGAACTCCAAAGGCTTTTTGGACTTCAAAAACGAACTCTGCAGCTTTTTTTGTTTCCAAAACAAATTCGCCAAAAAGAACTCCTTATTCAATAATAATAAAGTTAGTAATTATTATATAATTATCGTAATATAATATAGTTTAATAATAACAATAAATAATAATAATATTATAAATAATAATATTAATAATAAATAATAGTAATAATAGTAAAAATAATAATGGATATGTTGTAAGACACATGTGTGTGCTAGGGTGTATGTACAGGACTCTGTTTAGATTTAAATTTGAATTTATTTAAAATTGCATTTATTTGAATTAAGTTTGTATTTATTTAAGTTTGTATTTACTTGAATTTGTACTTATTTGAGTCTGCATTTATTTAAATTTGCATTTATTTAAATTTGCATTTATTTAAATTTGTAATTATTTCTCATTTATTTGCGTCTTCTCATTTGCAAATTCTCCGCCTTGGGAAATGTAATTTACATTTGATTTATTTTATTTTTTATTTTTTAAAGATGTTGAATGCATGCAAGTGGCTTTAGTTGTCTTGATTGCAGATTTAAATAATTAAAAGACAATTTACGCCAATTAATCCACAAAATTGAAACAAAAAACCTTTTTCTGTTCTTCTCAACACCACTTTTATATAAATGCGTTTATTAATTTCTAACTTCAACAACGGGCTGTACGTACACCTGGTGGGGTGTACGTACACCTGGCTGGGGTGTACGTACACCTGGCTGGGGTGTACGTACACCTCACGAGTCGCCGAGTGCAGTTTCGCTTTCGTTTTTTCGAAAAGTTCTTCTCAAATTATTTTTATTTGCGAAAAGAACTTCAAATAATTTCAAAAAAGAAAAATCGAAAAAACAAAACTGGAAATGAAACGCAGCGGCCCGCATCAATTCTTTTCTTTTTTCTCTTTTGAACTTCAAATTCCATTTTAATTCCATTTTAATTCCATTTTAATTTCATTTTAATTTAATTTTAATTCAAATTTAATTTAATTTAATTTTAATTCAATTCAACTTTAAATGAATTAAATCGCCAAAAAGTGCCAACTTCGAACGACTGGCGCTGCTGGCGGTTCGCAGGTGACCACTGGTCTGTCTGTACGTACACCCCAGTTCCTCCCGAGATGAAAAGAAATCAGTTTTCACTTTTGCGAACTTTTATAATTCGAACTGCAGCAGCAGCAGCAGCAGCAGCAGCAGCAGCAGCAGCAGCAGCAGCAGCAGCAGCAGGAGCGGGAAATCAAATAAAAACTTTGGAAAAATTCATCGAAGTGAAGCCGAAAAGAAACAAACAAACAAACTACAAACAAATGAGTTCAGCGCACACCCCAGCTGTACGTACACCCCAGCTGTACGTACACCTGAGGTGTACGTACACGTGAGGTGTACGTACAGCTGAGGTGTACGTACACCTGAGCTTCAGGTGTCTTCTTGGAAGTTTTGTTTCGTCAAAAGTCTTTTTGGAATTGGCTTTCCGTAGTTCTTCGCTTCTGCTGCTACCAGTGCAGCAAGTCGCTCGATTTCCCGCGAGGCGTGCATGCACACCGGGCCCTTCCCTGCTGCTGCTGCTGCTGCTGCTGCTGCTGCTGCTGCTGCTGCGGGGGCAGCAGCGGCGTCCCCGGCGCTGCTGCTTCTGCTGCTGTCTGCTGCTCTGCTGCGGGGCCTCAGCAGCTCCGGCGCAGCAGCTTCGGGTGTATGTACACCTCGCTTCTCGAACCCGCTGCTGCTGCTGCGCCGCCCCGAGAGAACTTCCGAATCCTCGCTGCTGCTGCTGCTGCTGCTGCTGCTGCTGCTGCTGCTGCTGCTGCTGTCAGCAGCAGCAGCAGCAGGGCTGTGCGGCTCCTGCTGCTGTGCTGCAGTGTCTGCACACGAGGGCCTGTAAGGCTTTCCATAGCGAGCTGCGATGTCGATGCTGCTTTGCTGCATGCGCTTTGCTGCTGTCAGCTTCCTTGCTGCTGCTCTGCCGCTGCTGCTGCTGCTGCTGCTGCTGTCGACAGGCGAAGCCGAAACGCGCTGCTGCTGCTGCTGCTGCTCCTGCTGCTGCTCCTGCTGCTGCTGCTCCTGCTGCTGCTGCTGCGGGTGCTGCTGCTGTTCTTGTTGCGGCTGCGGGCGGTGTTCGTGCCGCGGGTGCTGCTGCTGCTGCTGCTGCTGCTGCTGCCTGTGTTCCTGCTGCAGCAGCAGCAGCTGCTGCTGCTGCTGCTGCGTGTGGGCCTTGTCTATTTGTCTTTCGAAAAACAATTTCAGCTGAGACACCCGAGAGGGACACCTGAGGGGCCCTGGGGAGTCTTTTTGGGAAAAGTTGAAATTCAAAGAAGTCTCTTTCTCGAGGCCCGAAGCCTCTTTGCTGCTGCTGCTGCTGCTGCTGCTGCTGCTGCTGCTGCTGCTGCTGCTGCTGCTGCTGCTGTCTGTTTCATTTGCTTCTCTGTTTGCGGCGCTGCTGCTGCAAGACTCTGGCGGAAGTTGCATGTCCTGGGGTGTACATACACCTCGCGGCGTGGCGGTAGAGCGGCTGCCGTCTGTTGCAAATAAAAATAAAACAGTTTTATAAATATTTCATTTTAATAATAACAATAATAATATAAGTGCAAATTAATATTAATATTCATTTATATATTTGTTTATACATTTGTTTGTTTAATTTTAAACTCCTCACCTTCACTGTTTTCACTTGTTTGCTCTACTCCGCTGCTGCTGCTGCTGCTCGGCTCTGCATCCGCTGCTGCAGCAGCAGCAGCAGCAGCAGCTGCTGCTGCTGCTGCAGCAGCAGCAGCAGCGGGAGAGAGATCTGCAGTTGGCGGCGGCAGCAGCTGTGCAGTTCCCTCGGGGTCTTGTGCGTGGGGATCGAGTGGGGGGTGGTTATTTGAGTTGAATTCCTTCTGCGGCGAATCGGCAGCAGCAGCAGCAGCAGCAGCAGCAGCAGCAGCAGCAGCAGCAGAAGGGTCGAAAGAATTGCAAAGAGAAGAAGAAGCCATTTGGGAAAGGGCCCGGCGGCCGCCCCGCCTCGGTCTTGGCAGGCGCTGCCGAAAGGCGTCTGGGGTGGCGGCGGGCTGCGGGCGGAAGCGCGGCGCGAATTCGGGAATTGAAGTCGAATTTGGAGTTGAAAAAAGAAATGACGGAGAAATTAATTGGAAAAAAGGGAAAAGGCGGAGTTTGAGCGGCGAAACTGCGAAGACTGCGGAAACCACGCGGAGAGTGGCGGCGGCGGCAGCAGCCCGCGCGCCGCGGTGCGATGGGCGCGGAAAAGACGGAGAAAAAGACAAGGCCGGAGTAAAATGCAAAAAGAAACGCAAAGGGAATTCAATTCCCTGCAGACGCGAAGAAACAAAAGTGGTTTCCGGAGGAACTCGCGGAGCGGCGGGGGCGGTCGATGCGCGGCCGCGCGGTGTCCATACACCGCGCGCATGCAGGCCGCGCCGGCAAGAACGGAAAGCTGCAGATTTTTGCAAAAAGAAAAGATGTGGGAGCCGTTTGAGAAGTTGTGGAGTTCCCCGCGGGAACTTTCTTTGATTTTGGCCTGCGAATATGCCGATTCCTTCAGCAGCTTCGCGCTGGACTACGTGTTGGTGTTGTACTTGAGCGCGGGCTTCGGGCTGAGCGACGTGGCCGCCAGCTGGGTCTACGGACTCTACGGCTTTTCCTGTTTGTTTTTCGGCCTTTTTTTCGGCCCTTTCGTCGATTTTCTCGGAGTCCGGACTTCCCTGCTGCTCGGAACTGCAGCTTCCTTCGCCGCCCGCCTGCTGCTGGTCTTCGCCGCCGACAGCGTCGCTCTCTTCATCGCTCTCTTGGCTCTTTTGCCGATGGCTGTGGCGCTCACCGCCAACGTTTTGAAGTTGGCCGTGCGGCGCTTTTCCGCAGCGGGCTCTCGCGCCTGTGCCTTCGACTGCTCGTAAGTCTTGCAAAGTTGCAAACTTGCAAAATTGCAAAAGTTGAAAAAGTTGAAAAGTTGGAAAAGTTGGAAAAGAAGTTGCGGGGCGGAGACGGGACTTGTTGGGAGTTGTTGTTTGGATTTTTCTCTTTCTTTTGAGCCCTCGTTGGCTGCTTTTTTCGTTTCTTTTTATTTTCTTTTTTCATTTTCTTTTTCATTTTCTTTCGATTTCAACTCCAACTCCGCAGATACCTCGTCACCAACTCCGCGGCCCTCAGCGCCGCCCTTCTCCTCACAGCCACCCGCGCTATGGTGCCCCCCATGGGCCAGCCTTTCCGCCCTTACCTCTTTTTCGCCTGTCTCCCCGGGCTGCTGCAGTTCGTCCTTTGCTGCTTCCTCAGAGACTCTCCTGCTGCTGCTGCTGCTCCTGCTGCTCCTGCTGCTGCTGCTGCTGCTGCTGCTGCTGCTGCTGCTGCGGAGCAGCAGCAGCTGCTGCAGCAGCAAATGGAACCCGAAAGCTCGCCTTTGAACGTGAGTTCTGGCAAATTGAAGGGGATAATGCCAAGTCAACTAACTGGATCTTTATTTTTATTTTTATTTTTATTTTTATTTTTATTTTTATTTTTATTATTTTTAATTCAATTGTTTGTTTGTTTTAAAATGGAAAATAAATAAATTTAAACCTCCAATGGAATTTAAAACTTCAATGGAAAATAAATAAATTTAAAACTCCATTTTGTGGCATTTCACTTTATCTGACCAACTTCAAGTGTACGTACACCCGACTGCTCCCGCCGCAGCCGCCTCTCTTCTCCGTTTTCGATTTTAATTATTCGAAGACCATCAAATTCATTTATTATTATTTATTTATTTATTATTTATTATTTATTAATTTATTATTTATTTATTTATTTATTTATTTATTTATTTATTTATTTATTTATTTTTAGATCCTGAGGGAGACTCTGGCCTCTCGTCGGCTGTGGCGGTTTTTGGCGGTGTCGACGGCGGTGTGTTGCGGTGGGGCAAAAAGTGTTTTTAAATGAATTTAAATTCATTTTAATTAATTTTAATTATTTTAATTTATTTTAATTTATTTTAATTTATTTTAATTCATTTAAACTCAATTAAACTCCTTTTTGGCCCCTTTTAACTCCGTTTTTTGCGCTAAATTACTCTGAATTGCCTTTAAAGTGTTTTAAATTGTTTTAAATTCATTTAAATTGTTTTAAATCCATTTAAACTCATTTAAATTCATTTAAATTGTTTTAAATTCATTTAAATTCATTTTCCATTTTGCAGGAGTCGGAAGTGTTCTCCGGTGAGCCCCTTTTTCGTCTCCGCCGAATTTCGTCTTTTTATTTTCCGCAGACATTTCGGCAGCACTTTCCCCAAAGTCTTCACTCGCTGTGAGACTTTAATCATTTTAAATCATTTTAAATCATTTTAAATTCATTTAAATCATTTTAAATGATTTTAAATCATTTTAAATTCATTTAAATCACTTTAAATCATTTTAAATCACATTTAAATCATTTTAAATCATTTTAAATTCATTTAAATCACTTTAAATTCATTTAAATCATTTTAAACCATTTTTAATTCATTTACATCATTTCAAATTCATTTAAATCATTTTAAATCATTTTTACTCATTTTAAATTCATTTAAATCATTTTAAATCATTTTGAATTCATTTAAATCATTTTAAATCATTTTAAATTGATTTAAATCATTTTAATTTCTTTAATCATTTTAAATCTATTTTAAATCCATCTGAATCATTTTAAATCTACTTATTTTACTATTTCAAATCCAAATTAAATCTTAAAATAAAATCTTAAAATTAAATCCTTTTAAATACAACAAATTAGAAAATAAGAAAATTTAAAAATGCATTTCGGCGTTTCAATTTCCGTCAAAACCAAAACACTGAAAATCAACAAATTAGAAAAAAGAATAATTTACAATTTATTATTTAATTTATTTTACAACTTCAATTTAATTTGAAATTAATTTAAATTAATTTGAAATTAATTTGAAATTAATTTAAGTTCATTTAAAATTAATTCAGAATTAATTTTAAATTTGATTTCGAACTGCATCTTAAACAAAATATACAAAATAAACAAAGTAATCAAAATAAACAAAGTTAAATTAATTAAATTAAATTAAATTAAATCAAGTAAGCTCAAATGATTTCAATTAAATCAAATCGAGGAAATTAAATTAAATGCAACTAAACACTAATTAAACCAAATAAGACTAAACAAGAACTGAAATGAATTAAACAAATAAACAAAACAAAATAAATAAAATAAATAAAATAAACAAGATAAATAAAACAAAATAAAATAGAACAAAATAAAATAAAATAAAATAAAATAAAATAAAATAAAACAAAAGAATTAAATTGCATTAATTGATTTGCTGCAGCAATTTCTTCGGAGTCTCCTTACGAGTTGCTGCTGTCGATAAATCCATTTTTGATTTCTTCTTTTCTTCCTTTTTTTTCTTTTGCTTCCAAACACATTAGTGTTTTTAATTCTCTCATTTTGGTGAGTTTATTTAATTATTTATTTAATTGTTTATTTAATTATTCATTTAATTGTTTATTTAATTGTTTATTTAATTGTTTTAATTCTTTTGTTGCATTTAATTTAAGTCTTTTGTTTATCTAATTGTCTTTTAATTCCATTTTGTTTCATTCTCTCATCTTTTAAATTCTCTTTTTCTTCTCCCGCTTTTCAACAAATTAATTCTTTTAATCCTTTTATTTATTTAATTCCTTTTATTCATTTAACTCTTTTTATTTATTTCTTTTTATTTGTTTTTATTTGTTTGATTCTTTTTATTTATTTAATTCTTTGTATTTGTTTAATTTTTTCTATTTATTTAGTTCTTTTTGTTCATTATTATATGCATTTTATTTGGTTGTTTATTTATTTATTTATTTATTTATTTATTTATTTATTTATTTATTTATTTATTTATTTTATTTACTTATCTACTTTTAAATGCCATTATTGTCAGTTGCATTTCTTTACTTTCTTAATCGCCACTAATCCGGTTCTCCTTTGCTGCTGCTTGAAGTGGTTTGCTGCTGCTGCTGCTGCTGCTGCTGCTGCTGCTGCTGCTGCAGTGCTTTTGAATTGCTGCTGCGCCTGCTGCTGCTGCTTTCTGGAGCCTGGCTGCTGCAGCTATTTTTTTCTCTTTTTAAACTGTCTTAATTTTTGTTTATTATTGAAATAATTTTATTTCCATTTATTTTTATTTTTATTATTATGGTGTTCCTCTCTCTCTTATCCGTTATTTCTTTTTTTACTTTTTATTTCTATCATTTATTTATTTTTAATCTCTTACTTGTCATTTGTCATTTGTATTTATTTCACTAACTGTTTGGCCTATTTCTGCTTTTTATCTAATTATTTATTTATTTAATTATTTATTTATTTATTTTTTAAATTTAATTTTATTATTTAGAACTTGTCTTGTAATTTAATGCTTTTGCGTTTTTGTTTTTGCCTTTAGGGAACTTCCATCTCTTCCGTTTCTTTATTTGTTTTGGTAAGTAGCCAACAATGATAATTAATGATAATTAATAATAATAATAATAATAATAATAATAAATAATAATTCTAATAATAATAATAATTATTATAATTAATAACACTAATAATAAGAATTAACAATTATAATTAATAAAACCAATAATAATAATAAATAAGAATTCTGATAAATAAAAGTAATAATAATAATTAATAAAACTAATAACAATAACAATAACAATGATAATAATAATTCTAACAACTAAAACTAATAATAATAATAATTAAAACTAATAATAAAAGTAAATCTAATAATAATAATAATAATAATAATAATAATAATAATAATAATAAATAATACTAATACTAATAATAATAATAATAATAATAATAATAATAATAATAATAATAATAATAGTAAGAATAAGAATAACAACAATTAAAATGAGAATAATCAAAATAGGGATAAGAATATATTAAAAAAGAAAAAGAATAACTGCAAGCCAGCTGGTGAGGTGTACGTACACCCGAAGCTGGCGCATGCAGTGGCTGCAGTTGGGGTGTACGTACACCTGAACGTGCAGGCGCTGAGCCCTTCTTTTTTCGGATCTTTTTTTTGCATTTTAATTTTCACTTTTGGAGAAATGATTTGGGCCCCTAGACTGCTCCAGCTTTCTGTTGAGGCAAGACATTTATTTATTTATTTATTTATTTATTTATTTATTTATTTATTTTTTATTTGTTTGTTAATTTCATTTGTTTTACTTGATTTGTTTGATTTATTTAACTCATTTGTTTGTTCAATTTGTTTAATTTATTTAATTTATTTAATTTGTTTAGTTTGCTGGTTTATTATTATTCAGTTAATTCTTTTGTTTCTGTTCATGGGAGATACGGAATCAAATTCTTTTATTATTTATTTTTTTTTTAATTTTTTTAATTTGTTTCGCTGATTTATATTTTTATTTGATTTATTTTAATTCAATTAATTCATTTGTTTCTGTTGACACGAGATATTAAATTCATTTAACTTTTAAAAGTGAATTTAATTTTTTATTTAATTGTTTCTGCTGATGTGAAAAATTAAAAGTTTTATTTATTTCTTTTAAATTGGAATTTGTTGAATAATAATTTAATCAAATGATTTCTTTTGTCGAGATGAAAACTAAATAAACTTTTTATTTCTTTTTAATCTGAGTTAATTTATTTTTGATATATTTATTTGTAATTACTTTAATTCATTTATTTATTCATTTATATTTATATTTCATTATTTAAACAACTTAATTATTTGATTTATAATTTGATTTACTAACTTGCATGATTTATATTTTGTTTAATAATTATTTGATTTTCATTTTTATTTTAAATTGGACTAATTGGCTTATAGTTGAATTGCTTGGTTTACAATTTAATTGTTTATTTAATATTATTATTTAAAAAATAATAATGATTAAAAATGATAATAAAGTTTAACTTATTAATTAAAGTACTTTATTTATTTCTAAATAAAGTTTATTAATTAAAATAATTTATTTATTTTTAAATTATTTCTTTTTTTTTATTCAGGCTGCTGACGAAGGGCGAGAAGGCACTGGTGCGTTTCTGCTGCTGCTGCTGCTGCTGCTGCTGCTGCTGCTGCTGCTGCACCACAAGCAGCAGCAGCAGCAGCAGCAGCAGCAGCAACAGTAGTGGAAGTTAATAAAGTTGTTAAACCAAAAGAAAACAAATTAAATTGAATTAAAAAACAATTAATTTTATTTGACAAAATATATTTTTCAGTTTTGGCTCTTTCTCTTCACTTCTTTCTCCAATTAATTAATTCAAATAAACCAAATTCATTTAATTAAATAAATCAAATCAAACTAATTAAATTAAATAAAACTAATTAAACTTAATCAAACTAAATCAAATTAAGCCAAATCAAATCAAATCAAATCAAACTAAGTAAATTAAATCAAATTAAGTCAAATCAAACTAATTAAATCAAATCAAATTAAATCAAATTAAATCAAATTAAATCAAATCAAATCAAACTAATTAAATCAAATCAAAATAATTAAATCAAATCAAACTAATTAAATTAAATTAAATTAAATTAAATCAAACTAATTAAATAAATAAAAGAAATAAAAAATGAATTATTTAATTTATAAAACACTTTTTAGTTTTGGCGCTTTCTGCAATTCCGCGTTACCTCGCGAGGCTCTTCGCCGGCGGCACTTCCGGCTATTTGCTCCAACGCTTTTGTGAGTTTTATTTATTTATTTATTTATTTATTTATTTATTTATTTATTTATTTTATTTAATTAATTTATTTATTTAATTTAATTTAATTTAATTTAATTAATTTAATTAGTTTAATTCAAATTAATTTAAATTAATTTAATTAGTTTAATTCAAATTAATTAATTTAATTTAATTTAATGTATTAATGTATGGATTCATTTAATTCGTGGGAGTTGAAAACATCGGATTACAATTTGTTTATTCATCTCATTTTATTTATTTATTTATTTATTTATTTATTTATTTAATCATCTAATTAATTAATTTATCAATTCATTATTTTCTAATGAATTAATAAATTAGTTAATTAATTAACTCATTTATTTATCTAACTAATTTATTATCTAATTACTTAATTAACTAATTAGCTAATTTATTTATTTAAGTAATTTAATTAATTAATTTATTTATTTTTCCAATTAAGTAATTTGTTCATTATCGAATTAATTTATTTATTAATCTGATTAGTTAATTAATTGATTAATTTATCAAATTAAACAATTTGTTTATTATCTAATTAATTAATTATTTATCTAATTATTTATTTATTTAATTTATTTGATTTATTTATTTATTTATTTATTTATTTATTTATTTATTTATTTATTTATTTATTTAATTTATTTATTTAATTTACTTCTGCAGGCGCTGACGCGGCTCACTGCGACGAAGGCCGCAAATTGTGGTTTTGGATTGGAGGCATTTCGAGTGCGTTTTTAATTCTTAATTTTAATTTAATTTAATTTAATTTTAATTTAATTTAATTTTAATTTAATTTAATTTAATTTAATTTAAATTTAATTTAATTTTATTTAATTCAATTTAATTCAATTTAACTTAATTTCATTTAATTTTGAATTTGTTTTTTGTTTTAATCAATTTGAAGTTTCGGGGAATTAAAATGATAAAGTGGATTGAAGGAATAAAAGCCAAAAATAATCGAAAGAGAATTCACCAATTTATAAAACGAATCCAAAATAATTAAAATAATTAAATAATTAAATAATTAAAATATTCAAATAATTGAAATAATTAAAATAATAAATAACTAAAATAATTAAGTAATTTAAATAATTTAAAAATTAATTAAAATGCGATAAAACGAAGCTTCCGCCCAATTTGAAGTTTTAATTTTTTTAAATTACTTTTCAATTCGTTTCCATTTTTAATTTCAATTTTATTTTCTTTTTATTTTCTTTCTATTTTCTTTTTATTTTCTTTCTATTTTCTTTTTATTTCTTTTTTTATTTTCCTTTTATTTCTTTTTATTTTGCATTTATTTTCTTTTTATTTTCTTTTTATTTAAATTCGTTCCACTTCCTTCCATTTCCCTGCATTTCTTTCACTTCATTTTAATTTCAATCTCTCCTATTCCATCAATTTAATTTATTTCAATTTAAATTATTTAATTTTATTTTATTTAATTTAATTTTAAATTTTTAAATTTAATTTTATTTTATTTTTAATTTTGCTTCTCAGCTGCCACTCCGATTTCTCTAATTGTCTTTCGCCGGTGGCTGAATCCAGGTGAGCAAAAGAACTTGAAATCAAACTAAATTAAATCAATTAAATTAATTAAATTAAATTAAATTAAATTAATTAAATTAAATTAATTAAATTAATTAAATTAAATTAATTAAATTGAATTCATCAAATTAAATTAATTCAATTAAATGAAATATTAAAACTGGTTTAAATCTTAAATCGCGCTGCGCTGAGGTGTACGTACAGCCCAGGACGAGGAGCAGCGGCTGCGGCTTTTGGAGGAAAAGAAAATTTTGAGGGAAATATTTTAAATAAAAAAAGAAATAAATAATTAATTAATTGGAATTAATCAATTAATTCCAATTAATTAATTAATTGGAGTTAATTAATTGGAATTAATTAATTAATTCCAATTAATTAATTACTTCCAATTAGTTCTTTTCGTTTGCAAACCATCACTTCGACTTTCGGCTAAACAGCTCTTTTTTCCTTTTGCAAAACTTTAAAGACTTCCGCCGCTTTTGCTGCTGCAGCAGATGCTGCTGCTGCTGCTGCTGCTGCTGCTGTGCTGCTGCTGCTGCTGTGCTGCTGCTGCTGCTTTTGCTGCCAGCAACCGCCGCGCACTAACCATATGCATGCAGCAGCAGCTATTGCAGCAGCAGCAGCAGCAGCTGCTGCTGCTGCTGCAGCTGTTAACTCTGCAGCAGCAGCTGCTAATGCAGCAGCACCAGCAACAGCAGCTGCTAATGCATTAGCGGCAGCAGCAGCAGCAGCTGCTGCTGCTCATGCAGCAGCAGCAGCAGCAGCTGCTGCTAGTGCAGCAGCAGCAGCAGTTGCTGCTGCTAATTTTAAATTGCTTTTGAAGTTCCTCCAAAATTCAGTTTTTGGGTTTTTCAAAACTTCCAAGAACTTTCCAAACTTCTCAGTTTTACTTTTCATTTTATTTCATTTTATTTTATTTTATTTTATTTTATTTTATTTCGTTTGAGTTTCTTTTCTTTTCTTTTTTCTTTTGGTGTTGTCTTTTATTTTATTTCCTTTTCCTTTTTCTTTTCCATTTGTCTTTTATTTGTTTTATAATTTTAATCATTTTAAAATTAAATTTATTTTAAATTTCTTTTTTATTTATTTCGGATTTGAAGATTCTTGAAGTTGCTTTCCGAGGCTGCTGTGGACCGCCGTGTACTGCACAAAAAATAAAATAAAAATAAAACAAAAATGAAATAAAAAGAAAATAAAAAGAAAATAAAAATAAATATACATAGTTGGCTTTTATTGCTTCTTATAATTCTTTTATAATTCTTTTATAATTCTTTAACAATTCTTTTATAATAAAAGTAAATAGTTGGCTTTTATTATTTCTTATAATTCTTTTATGATTCTTTTATAATTCTTTTTTAATTCTTTTGTAATTCTTTTAATTATCTGGGATCGTGTGGGATCGTGTGGGATCGTGTGGGATCGTGTGGGGTCTTGTGGGATCGTGTGGGATCGTGTGGGGTCGAGTGGCACAAAAGGATACTTGAAAGGATCCAAGATTTCTTTATTTCTTCAATTAAAAAGAATTAAAAAAAGAATAGAAAATAATTATAAAAAGGATGAAGAATTAAGAAGAATTAAAAAGAATTAAAAAGAATTAAAAGGAATTAAAAGGACCTGAAAAGAATTTAAAGAAAATAAAAAGCATTAAAAAGAATTAAAAGATTTAAAATTAAATTAAAAACTAAAACAATTAAAAAAGAATAAAAGCAGAAAATAAAAATCAAAAAAAGAACAAAAGGCGCCAAAAATGGAACAAAAAAACAGTTTTTTCTCCCTTTTGAATTCTGCTTTCATTTCCTGTTTTTCAAGTAAACAAATAAATAAATAAATAAACCAATAAATAAGCTAATTAATTAATTAATTAAAACAAATAAATAAACAAATAAATAAATAAATAAATAAATAAATAAATAAATAAATAAATAATAAATTACTTTATTTACACATCTGTCTACGCAGCTGCTTTCGCCGGCCTCCAGAATTTCCTTTTTGACATTTGGAATGCAGCGGGACCAACAAGTGTCTTGCATCCTGAATTTAAAATAAATAAATAAATAAATAAATAAATAAATAAATAAATAAATAAATAAACAAATAAATAAATAAATAAATAAATTAATTAATTAATTAATTGGTTAATTCATGTTGGAGAGTTGAGGGGAGGATTTGGAGAATTTAAAAAACCAAAAATCGAAAAAATTGGATTTGGAAGAGCCTATCAAATAATCCAATTGTAAATTAAACAAACAAACAAACAATAAACAAACAAACACATAAATAACTAAACAAATAAATAAATAATAAATAAATAAATAAATAAATAAACAAATAAATAAATAAATAAATAAATAAATAAATAAATAATTAATAATAAATAAAAAGAAATAAAAGAAATAAAAGAAACAAAAACAGAGGCGAAGAAGAATGCCTACGTTGGGGTGTCACTACAGCTGGCATCACTATAAAGTGGAAATTGGGTCCAAAAATTCGAATTTTGGATTAAAATGATCCAAAAAGTGCGCAGAAGAAGAATAAAGGCAGCAGAAGAAGAATAAAGTGAAAATAAATGATTTAGAGTTTTAAAAAGCCTCCAAAAATAAAAAAACTGCGAAATTAATTCCTTTCCAGCTTCCCACCGGCGGTACATGTCGCTGAGCCCCAGCAGCTCCACCAGCGCCAGCTGCGCCGGGTCTGCGGCTTCCGCGGCCATTTCGCCTCCAAAAAGGCCCAAATTCGCCGCTTTTGGACTTTTTTTGAACTCCAAAAGCTTTTCGAAGTTCAAATTGCAAAAAAGAAGAAAAATAAAACCCAAAAACGCGAAAAACGGCCGCTTTTGGCCCCGGAGCTGCATGCGCAGCCCCGCGCGGCGCCGCCGCGCGGGGCTGAGGGGCTGAAGACTTCCTTTATTTCTTTTGTTTCCTTTATTTGCTTTTATTTGCTTTTACTTCTTTTTATTTCTCTTTTGTTTTCTTTTATTTGTTTTTATTTCTTCTTTTTGTGCAGTTGGGGCTTTTCAGACTCCGCTGGGAGCTCCGGCGAGTCTCGCGGGGATCTTCTTTGCAGAATTCGATTTTCGGGAGTTTTCTTCTTCTTCTTTGCTCCCCAGACTCCCCTTGAAGTTTATTTTCATTTATTTATTCTTTATTATTCATTTATTGTTTTATTCTTCTTTTATTCTTCTTTTATTCTTCTTTTATTCTTCTCTTCGTTTCTTTCTTCGGGTGTCTGCACATACACCGCAGACAGCCCACCTTCTCGGGTGTATCTGCACCTCCGGCCTTCACTTCTTTCTTTTCGCGCTTTCTTTCAATTCAAACTTTCAACTTCAATTTAAATGTTCTAAGATGACTCAGAAGGCCAAGAAGCCCGCTGCTGCTGCTGCAGCAACAGCAGCAGCAGCAGCAACAGCAGCAGCAGCAGCAGCAGGTGATGCAGCAGGTTCGAGCAAAAAGGAAATAAAAGCGACTAAGAAGACAGTGGCAAAGATGTCGGCAGCAAAAAAGAAAAGCAGCAGCAGCAACAGCAGCACGAAGCTGCTGAAGAAGCAGCAGCAGCAGCAAAAGAAGAAAACCGAAGAAAAACGCAAAAGCCAGCCAGCAGATGCTGCAGCAGCAGCAGGTGCAGCAGACACAGCAGCAGCAGCAGACACAGCAGCAGCAGCAGCAGCAGCAGCAGAAGGAGTTTCTCGGAAGCGGCAACTGGCCGTGTCTGCAGCTGCTGCGGACTCTAAGCGCCAGCGAGTCCGCCAACCCGCAGCAGCAGCAGCAGCAGCAGCAGCAGAAGCAGGAGAAGCAGCAGCAGCAGGAGAAGCAGCAGCAGGAGGAGCAGCAGCAGCAGCAGGAGGGCGCGGCAGCCGGAAGGCCCGGCGAGCAGCAGCGCGGCGAGCAGCAGCAGCAGCAGCAGCAGCAGCACGGCAAGGCGTGGTGTATGTGGGGCACTTGCCAGCAGCACTTAAGGAGCAGCAGCTCTTTAGCTTCTTCTCGCAGTTTGGCCGCGTGCTGTCGGTGCGGCTGCAGCGCAGCAGCAGCAGCGGCAGCAGCAAAGGCCACGGCTTTCTGCTGTTCGCGCTGCGCAAAGTTGCTGCTGCTGCTGCAGCAGCAATGCACGGCTACCGCCTCTTCGGCCGCAGCCTCGTGTGTCTGCTGCAGCCCCCAGGCGCTGTGGGGCCCCACGTCTTCGCCCGCGGCTACCCCCCCCGCAGCAGCAGCAGCAGCAGCAGCAGCAGCAGCAGCAGCAGCAGCAGCAGCAGGAGGCGGTGGCTGGTCACCAGCCGGGAGAGGGCCCGCCGGGAAGCGAAAAGTTACCGCAGGAAGGCGGCGCAGCGGGTCTCCGCGCGGGGTGTACGTACACTCCAACTCCGCCTCAAAAAGAAACTCAAAGGCCTCCAACAACTCGGATTCCAAACTGAAGACTTCCAACAAGTCCTTTTCCCTCCAGCAGCAGCAGCAGCAGCAGGAACAGCAGCAGCAGCAGCAGGAACAGCAGCAGCAGCAGCAGGAGCTGCAGCAGGAGCTGCAGCGGGGCAGCGCAGCAACTTCGGCGCTTGGCTGCGGCTGGAAAAGGAAAATAAAGAAAAAGAAAAAATAAAAAAGGCGCAAAAAAGAAAAGAAAAAATGCAGAAAATAAAAAGTGAAAATAACTCCAATTCGAAGCCGCTCAAGCCGCAGCCGTGAGGTGTACGTACACCCCAAATTGCCCCGGGAGAAAAAGCGAAAGCACTTTCCGCCAGAAGAGAAACAACAAAAGAAATAACAAAATAAATAAATAAATAATAAATAAATAAATAAATAAATAAATAAATAAATAATTAATTAATTAAATGAATAAAAGGAATGCAGCCGCTTTTGAATTCGCCTCCGGAGCAACTCTGAGGTGTACAGACACCTGCGCCTTCGCTCTTCGTTTGTCGCGCAGCATTTCGAAACTCTTTTCGATTTGAAGTTTAATTCTTTTCTTGGACTTAAAAACTTAAAAAAATGATTTTAAAAACAAAAAGAAAAGTTAACTCAAAAATAAATGAAGTTCGAAGAGTTTCGAAAGTTCAACAAAGTGCGAACTTGGGGTGTACGTACACCGCAGGCGCGCGCGGGCCACGAGAAAAGTCACTTTGTCGAAGAAGTCGACAAATATATTTATTTGTAGATGGACTAAAAAGAATCTTTTTTCATTTCTTTCATTTCTTTTTTCTTTTCTTTTTTCATTTTCCGAGTTTTAAAAAGTTCTTCTTTTCTTTACTTCCACTTTTATTCTTCCTCGTCTGCTGCCCAGTACTTCTGCGACGCAATTTTGTAAGTTTGAGGGCAGACGTAAGGCTTCAGCTGCAGCAGCAGCAACAGCAGCAACAGCA